CAAAAATATTATCTTATCATATCTATCAGATCTCACTCTCATAGGTGACCGTGAAGGGATTGACAACCCCTTTATCGCGTTGGTTGCGAGGAGTTTATTTGTTTGTGCAGGTGCGAGGGACTCGTGCGTGGCCTCCTACTGGATTGATACCTTGGTTCTCAAAAACTGAGGGAAATACTTACGCTACTCTGCTGCATCATCCTTTTCTCTTCAAGGGAAAACCAACGCAGTGCTCAAGAGGTAGCACGCCTCCCGACTGGGAATAATTCCTCGAAAGGTCGTGCTGCTTTGCTCAATGAGGCTCCTGTCTATTTCCATTTTGTGGAGTGTATCTTCGTAGATGAGGTTTAGTCCGCTGCCACCGTCCATGAGGACCTTGGTGAGCCGAAAGCCATCCACGATTGGACTGAGGACCAAGACGGCTGGTGCTCGGACTGTCCTGTATTTTGGTTCGTCACCGGCATTAAAAGTTATAGCCGTGTCGTTCCAAGGGTTTATTGCTGCTATTTGACAGACTTCAATGAGTCCGCGTAGTGCTCTTTTGTGCCTATTATTTGAGGCGAATGTCTCGAAGACCGTTAGTACTTTGGGGTCATTGTCCTCTAGGGGTGTTGTTCTGGGTTATTCTTGGTGAGGATATCCTCGCCGCTCTTGGCCACTTGCCAGAGTATCCAACATGCTCTAAGGCTATGTGTTGGTATGTTATCCGGTGTTGCGTGTATTTTGCATGGCCCATCGAGCCATCCTTCCAGAACGGTTTCGTGCCCCATACTAGGCTTATATTTCTTTACTATTGAACCGGGCATGTTGCAAGGGTGCGCCCTTTTCTCCTGAATGAGAGGTCGAGTGGAGACCGATGATTCCCAACGGGCTGCTTGAGTTTTCCAGGAGCTTTCCATTGCGCTATAGTTCTGTACGATAGTTGCCAAGTCAGTGAAGTGTAGGATGCGATAACGGTTGATGGCGTTGAGGATTCCTTCGTCCCTGCAATTGTTGCGGAACACTGAGATCGCTTCCTCGTCGCGGCAATCTTTGATCTTGTTTTTGACAAGAAGGAATCTGGCCTAGAAGTGGTGGACCGTTTCCTGAGACTGATGTTGTATGCTCATGAGAGCACTTGTATTCGGGTGGGCGGGTGGATTTAAATCTGAACCCTGACCCAGTTTTGGATCCGGAGTCTGAAGGTCTTCCGAACTTAACAGATCAGGCTCCGGGATATCCACTGATTTCTTAGGCCCGTCGTTCGATTCTATGTTCGGAGGGCAGGATGCATCTCCTCGCAGGTAGGTGTCCGGCTCTTCGAGACCAGAGATCCGGACATAGTCCGTCCTTAGTATGGAGGAAGAGTTGTCGACTCGCTCCTCGACTACCGCTATCTGGTGGGTGATCGGTGGAGATTTGATTTCTCTCTGATCAGGTTTATGCCCAATTCGATCGTAGTCTGTAGCGACCCCTAGGGCGGTGATGCGATCTAGGAGCTCGTTTAAGGACGAAAGCTCCGCTGGATCCATCTGCTTGGAGTGTTCGGAGTCGATACGAAGGGGGTTTTCGATGACCCGAGAGGTCATCGTCGGCTTAACGACCGAACAGGCGGTCATGGTAAAGCCGCACAGCCGGAGGGTTTGGCCTAGAGCCAGTGTTCCTCCGGTGGTGATATTATCCTTGAGAACAGGGCAAGACATCGATCCTGTCGTCGACGTCACAGTGGAACTCTCAATGAAAGCACCAATGTCGGTGTCAAAACCGGCGGATCTCGGGTAGGGGGTCCAGAACTATGCGTCTAAGGTTGATGGTAGCAGGAGACAGGGGACACGATGTTTACCCAGGTTCGGGCCCTCTCTATGGAGGTAATACCCTACGTCCTGCTAGATTGATATTGATGAATATGAATATTACAAGAGTTGATCTACCTCGAGATCGTGATGGCTAAACCCTAGAGGTCTAGCTTGTATGGCTATGGTAATGAATATATCTCCCCCCTCCGGACTAAGTCCTCCGGTTTATATAGACACTGGGAGGATCTAGGGTTACACAAGGTCGGTTACAAAGAAAGGAATCTACATATTTGGTCGCCAAGCTTGCCTTCCACATCAAGGAGAGTCTCATCCGGATACGGGTGCAGTCTTGAGTCTTCGTATCTTCACAGCCCATCAGTCCGTCCCATAGTTAACAAGTCGGACGCCCGAGGACCCCTTAGTCCAGGACTCCCTCACCTGTTCCTTGGCATGAAGTATTCTCGCGCTTAGATCATGATGATGATCCGACCCGGTTCTGACGGCATGGGCCGACCTTATTCGTGGGCCCACCTAGGCACGTGCCCCCTTTGTCCTGACGTTCAATATGACGTGTGGTCATGGGTTAAGGTCCCACCATCGTCACGTCACATAAAAAAAGAGATCACACGTATAGACGCACACAATAATTAACAACCGCCCCTTGATCTCTTTGTATAATTAACACACGACGCACGGGGAAGTTGCTGATTTATTGCCACACACCGGGTGTATCTTACCGCCGTTTTGCATTTTACCTCTCCTATAAAAGGTGAAGGTAGATGAGGGGGAGGGCTTTACGCTCATTCCCTTCGTGCCTCTGTCTTCATCCCCGAGCACAAGCTCCCAAGTCTTTCAACGCACCTGATTCCAAAAGGCCCATGCCTTTCCACTCACAACCTCACCCAACACCATGTCCGGGGAGAGGAAGCAGAGCCAGTACGGAGAATGCTAGCAAGAAGCTGACGGCGGATGCTTCAGACGAGGGGAAAGTGGAGTCTCTCCATCGAGGATCAAGCACGGCTGGACCAGTTATCCACAGCCAGATACCTGCTGCCATCAGGGTAGGCCTCTGCTCGTTCTGCGCTCGTTGTCTCCCAGCCAGGAGATGCTCGCTGGTGAACTGCAAGGTCGGGAGGGAGGATGGGAGGTTAGGCGGGATGCAACCAGGGAAGGGACCACCTCTGACCCCTGTGAGGCTGTCGGTCAAGGTGACGGTGAGGCAGTTGGG